TTATACAGTACAAATAAAATGTTCACGTTTCTCCAACGTTGTCTTCCCAACAGTTTCACTGACATCTACACTGGATGGCCAGGAAGCGTTCATGTTGTCTTCTCGGGCGCTGATAATTGGCGTCTGTCGTGTGTCACTGACGTAAAAGACGGATTTAATGCGACATGACCATTCAAACAGCAGTCGCTTTCTAAAACATCAGATATGTATCGGATTCAGGACCACATACGAAAGTGACCCAGATCGGATTTGAAAATATCGGATTTGTGCCGTTCACACTGTCATACCATGATCGGATATGGGTCGCATAGGGTCAAAAAAGTCAGATTTGATGCACTTTCTCCTGCAGTGTGAACGTAGCCTATGTCACTCCTCCATATGTATGCTACTTTACTGTTTTCAAGACACCCACTGTTGTCTTAAATCAGATGACAAACGCAGAGTTGAACTAAGCAATCACATTGCTTTTTATTTCTATTGTTAAGTGTTGAAAGAGAAATTGAAAATGTCATGTTAGTAAGCAGCACCATGGTAAACTTCAGATTTACTTCCTGTATTGATGCCATCTGTTGAAGGACAATGAAATCCAGAGGATTATAATTACCTAGGTCCTCGATTTGCTTCTGTAAAGTTTGTGAGATGTGTGAAAACACATTCGAAAGGCTACTAAAAACAGTCAGAAGTAAGACGAATGGTCTAGGCATGCTCAGTTTGATTTGGTTTTGCTTGTAAGCCATTATACTCAAATTTCCACGGCCACAAATAACTCCAAACTTAGAATTTAGTTCACTTTTGTCTTAAATGGTTCACAAACATGCAGCTGTATGTCTCGCAGTGTACACAACTGTTCAGGTGAAAACTGGTTTTGCTTTCATTTGTAATGGGAAGCAATGTGTGCAAGAATATGACTGCAGAAACAATACCACTACTAGAAGGAGAACTGGATACCCGACTAAAAGAAACCACCAGCTCACATCAACAGAAACTTGTTTGACTGCAAGACCAAAAAAAAGTTCAAGACTAGCTTCTAAGTCTTTATCCTGCTTTAGCCCCCTACATTTCCCTAGGAGACTGCTGCTCTATTGTACACATAGTTAAGACATCACACACAAAAAGAACTTATAAAATATAATAAAAAGAGAAGAACTTAATCCTGTTTGAAGCTGGAAGCCCTGTCTACCTCTGTTATAGAATTATAGTCTGTGAGGGAAAATACTTTTGTTGTTTTTTTATTGCAATACCACAAGTCACCACTGGGAGATAATTGACAGCTGATAGGTCTTATCTATCCTCTCTTACCACATGCTAAATTACACAAAACAGGGGTCTATTACTGACCTGCAAGTCACATGCAAAGAGTGTGGCTCCTTTGGCTTTGGACACCACAGTGATCTGCTGGAAGGTCAGGAGGTCATGAACATGGATGTTGTTCTCTGTGGGGATGTTTAAATCGGTTTGTTTAGTTGTCACGTTAATGAAGAACTGATATTAGTTTGAAGCCTTTACAAGCCCAAGGTTCCCCCCATTTTTTCTTTACATGACATTTTAACTCTGTAAAAATGTATTGCTGAGAAAAACTTACCCAGGAGACTGACAAGAATTTTGTACTGTGAGACAACATAAAGCTGGAGAAAAAAAAACACAGTTAAAGAGATAAACACACATAAGCTGGTCAACAAACAGAGGTGAACAATTTTAAATTCTAAATTTGCGGTTAAGCGACTTAAAAAGTCAGATACCTGCTGAATCTTCTTTGAGAAGTTCTTGTTGGATTTTTCCAGTGTGACCTCAAACCGGTTGCCTCCTAAGATAAAAATATAAGAAATGTGTTCATCAAAATTACTTAAATTGGTATTTGAAGTGTGCACGAAAGGAAACCGTGATTGTCTGCCAAAAACTGATTTCCGGTATTTGCCAAAAAGCGATTGCTCATATTTAAAGTGCTATAAGTAACTTGTTGGGCTATAATATGTTAAACATATGTCAAATGCATCCCTTATGGATGACATAAAGTCATCTTGAGCCACAAACAACATTCGTGTAACAAGATACAAGCCGCAATCAGTTTTTGGCAGCGACTTTTATATAACCTTTATTTATGCAGTAAAAAAAATCTCATTAACATTAAAAATGTATTTTGTAAGAGTAAGTTGCCCAACAGGACAGCAGAAATGGCAGCAAATATTACAATAGTTCTGTAAAAATATTTTAAGTGGGGATAAAGGACCGGATTGGTTATAATGTAAGTACAAGTTGTAAAGATACTTAAAAAACAGATAATTTTTTAATTCTTTATGTAACCCCTTTGTATCCCCTGTTCACCGAAGTCTATTTACGAACATACGTAAAGATATCACGCATAAAAAAATACACAGAAACACTGGAAATCAGTTTTTGGCAGACAATCACTTTTTGGCACAACACCGGCCTCCAAATGGATAACATCCCCTTCGGTCTCCTTACCTGCATCCTTCTTTATTCGGTACAGAAGGAGATGGCCTGGTTTTGTTCCTACAAGCAGCCAGTCCTCTGTAAGGAAGTCGGTACAAAAGATGCGGTCAGTTAATTTCAGACATAACGTTTTCACATAAGTCTGAGATGTTACCTGTGTTCAGTAGTGAAACAACTCATGATTTCTTGACAACTTGCAAGACTGCAGTTCGGTAAACAGGGGTACTATTTCAGTGTCACAAAATTAAATCAACAACTCACCCCAGGCTGCAAGGCAGTCAATCTGAAGAGGAAGCTTTTCCAGAATAGGTACAGGCTCATATGCGTCGTGCATCTTGAAGCGACGCTAATTCAATCTCACACACCCCTCTGATATATCAATCCCACACGGGGCGGACGCCTAATCGCTGATAAATCTGTCCGGGGGTACAGCTTTACATGTCGCCATAAACTAACACAGTTCAGTTTTGCTTTTTCTTGGAATGGCCAATACGGAGAACTGATTAGGTAATGCAATGCAGTTTGGCTTGTTAGCCACCTTCCTCCCTGACCAAAACAACAGCTGATCGTTAGCCTTTTAGCTAAGAAGTGAGCAACTATCGGCTCCCTCTCACTGCAACTGAAATCTGAGCGAAGACTGTAAGTTAACAACTGCGCAACTGCAATTAACCTAAAATGTTTAACCACAAACGCTATATAAACCACAGCAATTAGTTTTCGTTAGCCATGTAGCTTCTTGTTACTTCCTTAGTTGTTTTGAACACGGCTGCGCGAGCTGCTGGGGTTTGACAGGCACGTGACTGAAGTATGTGAGCTCACGAGGAACGCATTAAAGGCGCAGTGGCTTGCATTAAACGGTAAGTTGAACGGTTATTTTGCACTCTCGCGAGGTTTCGTACGAAAAGAAAAACCAGTATTTATGACACAAATACTTAAAAATATATATATTTTAAATTTAGATTTCCAGGATTTAAAGGACACTCCTACTTGTTTTTTTAAATAAAATATTCTAGAAAAGAACACGTTGTAATTGTGATATATATTTAAACGTGTCTTTTAGAAAATCAAAATAATTCTAAATTTATACAAAACTTACATTTCAACCATCTTTCAATATAAATTTATTTGCAGGACATACGCAAAAAGCCATACAATATTATCAGCTTCACAATACAATGCAGACTCAAATCCAGACACAGGGTTTTAGTGTCTCTCTGAAATAAAATATTGTCAACAAGATTTAGACAAATAGAAAAAAACCAAACATAGTTCAGAACTTTAAAATTATCCACACATACTGCAGTAGATCACACAAGGATGAGGATTTATTCCAGATAAGGCTATTTTTGAGCGTAGCTGGGAAAGGGTCAGAGAAATCTGTAACAATGGTGAAATGATACTCCCCTGTGCTACTAAAGTAAACAGAGAACCTAAATAAAACTCTGGACCTGTTGGTGGAGGGGGTCGGAGAGCACATTTTATAGACACACTAATTTACATGTATATTTTTCAGCTATCCATGTTCGTTATTCAGTGGCTAGAAAAAAAGTGTTCACTTTGGTGACTGCAATATCTAGTGTTTCTAGATCTATTATATGAAATCAAAACTATAAAAAAAAGTTACTTTTCATAAAAATGTAAATAAAGCAGGCTTAATTTTACTACTAATGCTTACAAACAGGATTTTACTTTTTCTACACTTATCAACCAATTAAATATAGTCAAATTTCAACTCACTTAAACTGATCAGTGTGTGGACGACATCCTGAAGAAATGATCTGACACGTGTCTACAAAATGAACACGCCTCATACGGTTTTATTACAGTTAATTCCTTGCATTGATATAGCTCCATAACTATCGTTATATGCTCCCAGATCAACAGATGGGGCTTATTTTCTGGACGACGGTGATATCCTTCAAGTATCAACATGACAGACTTTAACAGTGGCTTAACTATTTTGATATTCAAAATGACCCAGTTAGCCAGACACTACAGTAATAATGTGTTAACAATTAAACACACATATTTGTTGGCTAAGCATTAAAACATTTGCTTTTAGCTGTCTGGCTAAATGGCTAATTGTACAATAGAGTTACTTGCACATTTAAATATTAAATCGTGTGATCAAATAAATATGTAATGTAACAACGCATCTTTTTTACATATATGGCACAGCACTGAAGATAACCTATTGTTGATTAAGATGCTGCAATGGCTTAAATATAATCCTATTATGAAACTACTTTAATGTTTTCAGTTATGTTCATTATCTTCCGTTTGTAGCATCATCCGATATCTTGGCTTTGATGATGGCCAGGCATCACAAGTCATACCTGACTGTGTTCCAAAAAGGACCTCACATTCCTACAACTCTGACCCGTCCAGGAGTTATCTGTGCAGTCTGAAGTGGTTGGAGCTTTTGTCAAATATTTTGATCATCTATCCCTTGCACTGGATATCACATGTTTCATTAAATACTTATAATAGTCTTTAAAAAAAACTAAACAAAAAAAACGAAAAGAAAATTTTCACAAATCTCCCGATAACTAGTGCCTTGTGTAACAGAATCAGCTTCTCCTTCATTTTGTTCAACAAATAAAATAGTTATAAATATAAATGCTATACTATATAACTGCTTGTATTTTATCCCAGAATGCCATCAGCAGCCGACCCAGTCACTCCGGGTTGCACAGTATGGCGTTAATATAAGAGCTTACTGTAGTGTTACCCAAAGCCTGTGAAATAAAAGGTTTTTTTTTTAAAGTGTCTGAAGAAAGAACAGATATGCATCCCCCCAACATTTTTGGTAATCAGATCACTCATTGCTGCCTCAGTCAAATTCCTCTCTTTTCACTCTCAGATAGTCTTCTACTCCATTTTGGACCTCTCCATCTTGGTTTTCAAGATTTCCTGGAAAAAAAAAAACACAGCAGTGTGGTTGTTAAATGATGTCACAGTAAAAGGTCAGGACTTTAAATAGATTAAAGTGTGAGTAGAATCATGGGACTAGCATGTGTAAAGTAAAAAGGCTCCTTACTTCTTCCTCATCTAGCATTACAGGGAGAGCTCTGTATGGAGAGGAAAAAGAAAAAAAAACAGAGAAAGAGGCCATGGATATACCACCCACATCAGGAGTAAGTCAAACACTATGAATATGGCTTGAATAACAGCAATATAGTACTTTTCCACATTTCCATCCAAATGTCATTTAGTGTAGCAATTTTTCACCAAAATAAAAGTTTACTTACACATCAGCAACAGTAGTAGGAATGTTCTCCTCAACCCACTTTAGATCTTCATCCTGACAAAAAGCACAGTTTTGAAACACAGAATTAAGTAAACATGACAATAACGCAGGAGAGAAAATGTCAGAAGTCAACCTACCTCTTTACTCAACATTTTCTGGGAGCCGTTAATGTCAGGCTTTGCGCCTCTCATCTTCATTCCTTCTGAAAAATCAAGAAAAGGCAGTTGAAATCATTTACTCTGATACTATTAAATGATTATAAATTTCTCAATTAACGTCTATACAAACAGACTGAGAATGTGTCATTGGGTTAAACAAGGTTTAACAAAGCTCAGACAGGAGGTTGTCAGTAAAGGATGTGAGGAAAATTGTGATTATTTGGGTTTATTAGAGCATACAACAGAAGATACAAACCGCTGGAAAACATTTCTGTGATCTCTGTCGTTTTATATTTTTGTGTTATACAAGCCTACTGGCCTCAATTCTACACTTAAACACTGTTACTATAGGATAAAAAACATCCTGTTTGTGGAACCTAAACAAAACTGATCAAAATGTAAAGAATCAGCTGGCACAAGATGACAAGCCGGCAGGATACTACATTTATGGCAACTAACTGTTTTACACAACCAAGCTTATCAAAAGCTGTTTTACCTTTTCTCCCAACACACAGCACTAGAGTTTAATAAAACCAACATTTTTCTAAGAAACTTAACTGTGTAACACAAATGAGCATTCAGTTTCTTTTTCAAACACTGTTTAATATGGCAAACACTTGTCTGGGGCTTTAAATTACAAGAGGAGTCAAATGTCGTACCAAAGGCTTCGTTCAGCATGGGCTCCTTGGCTTCTTCCTCTTCATCATCATCATCAATCAGAGGGGAATGGGAGAACCTGAAAGGAAACACCACATAGGCTGAAACCTTTATGAATCGCGTTAACCGCGAGCTTACACAGACACAAACTCCATACTGACGCTGACCTCTGATTGTTGGCTGAGGGCCGCAGCAGCACCATGATGACCAGAAGAATAGTGGAGAAGAGCAGGCGCCAGAATGCATCATCTACCCACAAGTCCCTCCAACCCTGCAGAAAGGATAAGGACAGATTTCAGGGGAAAAGCAGTGAAATCCAGTACAAGATAAATATAACTCAGCCAAAAGAGAAAGCAAACTGACCCTCTGACAGTCGACCAGCTTGAAGACCTTGGTGGTCCAGATGATAAATATGATAGAAGCTGTGGACACAAAATAAACACCAAGGATTTAGATGACTGTAAACAAAATACACGTGTTTCGCAGAAACTACAGCACACAAACAACAAATTGACCTGAAGGGAATTCTAGCCACAGCATTGGTAAACTGGAGATGTGTTTAGTTTTTTTTAAATGAAACAGATGTGTTCAAAAAATATTTATCACATATGGAAATACGCAGATTCCCTTTCTTGTAAAGGGTTAAATGAAGATTGGCCACACTGACAGCTACATAGTAAACACAAAGCAGGAGACTGGAGCTTAAATACAAGTTGGTAACAGAAGGAAACAATAAACCTGATTTCACACGAGTTGATAATAAAGTACAAAAAGGCTAATGAAGACAAAATCAGCCCTCAGCTAGCACTATAACTCATTTACATGTCATGTTTTGTAAATCAATAGAAAAACCTAGTTTTTCTAGGAGAAATTAGCTTTTTTTTTTATAAGTTATATTAGTTTCATTACCTTTATACAGAAGTAGGTTTACATGTTTAGCTTAGCTCACCAGCTTCCAGCACCCTCCACAATAAAACATATTTTCCAAGTCTGACCACATCTTACAGAGGAGCAAGTGCAGCACATTTCTACCATTTCATAATTGGCTTCATAGTTTACGGTAATCTTTTGACTGATGGAAACGTGGAAGCTAAGCAGACCCCAGTACAGCTGTAACTCACCGACAACAGAGAAGATGAGCGTTTTAGTGAAGTGCTGATATAACGAGAGCTTCACTATATTTCTGCGGAGCTTGAGGAGACGAGTGGTTTGAGACAAGCTGATGAAAATGTAAATGCAAATTAAGGAAAACACTGTCTATGGACAGCTTCTAAATAAATACAATCAAATGCCTATATGTGCAGTGCTTGTGATAATACAAATCACAGTGACACCTGAGCAGTCATCAGGCTAGTTGATTAAAGGATATCCACCACATGACACAGGAGTCAATGAGGGAAAGGCTGAGATTAGCCACAAGGGCAACAGTCCCGTAGAAGCCCTGTAGGAAGATGACAAGAGACACATTTCAGAAGAAGTTTTGTTGAAAACTTAGAGCACAAAATAGAGCAAAGACTGACTGTGAATCAAGCAACTAAAGAATTAAACCAGCAGTGTAGTTCCTTTAATGTCCACTTGAGGCCGACTCCAAAAACTAGTCAATCTCCTTTCAAAAGAAAAGATCTGCTGTAGCCCAGTGATTTGGTAGAATCTTTTTGCTCCTGGAGAATGACTGCAAAAAGTTTTGTTGGCGTGACCAGACTGACCGTAAACACTCAGATCAGTGAAAATTTGCATATAAATGCCGTCAGATATCCAACACAAGGCAATCAATCTGAATCAGTCTGTAGCGATAAGCCAAATTTGTCTGCAGGACATCTCTTTGCAATAAGGGACTCAACTGAGCTGCTGGTACTCTGGTTAGTGAGCACCTATGTGATTTTTGCAGTCAAATCTCCATCCTGCAGCAATTACGTCACTACTGGTGGAGGAATTTCTGTTTCATATCTATGAAGTTCTGACTAAACTCATGTGAAAATGCTCTTTTTATAACTCACCTGTTTCACCTGAGTCGTGCATTATTATGGGTGTGGCTGCTTTATCTGACATACAGATGTAGCTGACACTTTCTGCTAGGCTTCATCTGTGTTAACTGACAGTCACTGAACTCAAACACTCAACAGTAGTGGTATTTATGGTGCCTTTCAGAGCATTTAATTATGTTTTTAATGTGGTTTTCTGCATGGTTAACTGTACTAACAGCTCATTCAAGCAGTCTGTGCTCTGGCAAGTGAAACTTAGGAAGTATCTATGCCTGGGGATACAGACTGCTGCACAAGTTTGCAACCGTTAGGTGAGGTTTTGGCACTCCGGCATCTTATTTAAATATGATCACCTCGAGTACAAAAGAAGAAAGGTGACGTGTACATGCTATGAAAGTGTTGGGTAAACATGAGCTTGTGTTAAGATTACAAAACACATTCTAATCAACTTCATTACTTCATTCTCCTTGCTGTCTTTCTTATCTCACGTTTAAATTGCGTTTGCTGAACTCGCTGCTGTGTCTTTAGCTTCTTTCGAAAAATTACTCATAGATCAAATTTGTCATTCTCTATCATGATCACTTGTCTGCCTCCCAGAGACAGAATCCCTGTGTAACCTTCCCTCTCTATGGTCTCCTGCACTCAAATCAAATTTATATATAGAGAGCGCCTTCCCTGCTGCACCAGGCCACATTTTTATGCAAAAATACATCACAGCCATCAGCTTCAATCACCCTCCAGAGGCTGCAACAAATAATGTGTACTAACTGATCTGCAGTGGGTTCATTTCACTTGCCTGGATACAATTAATGTGAGGCCACTGAAACTTAATATGTGGTCCTAGAAGTGAAGTATAAAGGGTGTCCTAATCAGCAGAGAGCATGCCTTCAAAGGACATTTTAAATCAACCTTTGTTCAAATGTATTTTATTTATTTAGGGCATGATTTATTTATTTATTTAAAAAAAGAAAAAAGAATATGTATGTGTGACTGTTCTTATAATCCTTGTATAAAAAAGTATTTTGTAGTCTTGGTTTTGAAAGCTGCCACACAATAAATATTTAGCTAACAACTGATTTCTATTCTTAAGGGTGACTGCAAGATAAAGACTTGCATCTGCTTCTTATCAATATTAGACACTTACACCGGTTACTCGCAGCACACCTTCTACTGAGGAGAAGAGAAGGTAAAAAATTCCAACAGCTACTAGCCGATGTACGGTGGTGCCCAACCTGGGCCTAAGCAGAAGGGAGAATAAAACAATGCATTAATACTAAGAGCTTGTTTAAAACAAGTAACAGCAGTGGGTTATCCACTAGAGACTATATACAATCAGGTAACCTTTCAGGAATCAACTCACTTGACTATGCCATAGCCAAGGCTTACAATGAGGACCAGGATTCGAGCCAGAGATCTTTTGAGTGCAGAGAGCAACTCTGCAAAAATCACAGCCCCTAGCACTGCAAAAAAAAATTACAAAGAGAAAAACAGATGCCAAAATATGAAAAGGAAAAACCAAAACCAAACAAACTTATACCACAAACAAGCGAGCGTGGAAAATCTGCCAACCGTAGTCTCCTTTGTAATGGATGCTTTGGTATTCAGAGTAGAAAACCGCTTTCTCCAGCATGCCGAGGATAATGACGGCACCAATCCAGAACTGGATCCGCAGCAGATCCCTCCAATAACAGGCGCACCAGAAGAGCCAGAGAACCCCAAACAGCACGTAAACAATGCACATGACCATGAAGAACTGTGATGGGCGCAAGAGTGGGAGACAGTCTCAGCTTTGTCATCGATAATAAGTAAGCTATACACTCAGGTTCCAGTGCTATGGTGAAAGATTTTACATGTCTGAATTCATCAACTCCCTTTACTCCTAGATATAGCAATTAAATATTACAGAAAATGAGGATTTATACCATCATGAGAGGCCAGTCTGCTGGAGAGGAGTACTCATGTGGACCTTTCATCTCCACTTTCACTGGGAAATAAAGAAAGGTGCGTTATTGTTTAAAGAAATATGATTCTAAAGCTCTTTATGCAAAATGGTTGTTTCTCACTTGAAAAAGTAAAGCTGGACTGCTCTCCTCCCTCAGCTTCATCATCAGCGCCACGAAACAAAGGCTGCACCTTCACTATGAACAGATAGGGACTGTCTTCCCAAGCTTTGGCCACTGCACTGATATCCTAAAAAAGAAGATTTAGACTTTTAAATCTGATGAATGAAGCAATTTCTTATACTTTTTATAGATTTATTTCTTTGCATTGAATGAGACAGCATATGATTTTGTTGTACTTTTGGTATAATGACAATAAAGGATTATCATTATTACACTTTTTCCCATGAGCACTGGAATATAAAACCCCCCAGAAAGGATTAAAACTTTCCTCAAAAAATTAAAAATATAACGTTTATTCACTGTTGTAATGTCTTACCGGTTTTTCAGACCAAAAGAAGCTCTGATTGGATGGGTCACTCTAAGAGAAAAAAGTAGTTTTAGGGCTATTCTGATAAGAACAATGAAAAATTATAATAAGCGTCTAAAGATCAGTGTCGATCACGCACCTTTGGGCTAGTCAGTGGCTGATAAGGGTTGAAGTCTGGGTAATAGACCTAAAACAAAGGCCAAAGTAAACAAATACACATGAATAGATATGCATATATAATATAGTGTATGCAGGAAATCTCTGAAAGAGCAGTTTCACATGTTTAAAAACGGACTTACATCAGTATTGGATAACTGCTGCACAGAAACTGGACTATTACACACACATAATAAATGAGTTTATGTGCCATCTACAGTGATCTAGGATGGTATCGTTGTCACTGACCTTTGGTAGCAAGAGAGAGGAGCAGTTGTCAAAGTACATGTAGCCCTGACTGTAGAAGCCACTCCAGCCATCTTTCAGCATGTGCTCCATGCCAAACATGTTCCTTGCTTTGTTGTCCTGCAAAACAGTGTGTTATAACATGTACTTTATGTTATGTTTATTATAATGAACAGACAGGATGTTATTGCAATGATACTTGACAATCACAGCAGTAACTGAGTTTACTGTATTTCAACACATTTTGCTAAATATTTGACACCATATAAAAATGACCATTAATATGCATATGACAATATTTTACACACCAGCTGAATAATGCTGAATAGCAAAGACAAAAGCACCAGCCTTCACAGGACTCATTGAATAGTGCAAACACAGGCAAGTAAGTGGAACCTAATTTCAAGGGCCCAAAGTATTTCAGATAGTAAATACATTTTTTTGTAAGATCCAAACATCCAAATCACAAACAGGGTTTATTTTTTCTCTTACAAAACAGAAGTGTGTTCATGCTTCACATCAAACCCACACAGTAAAACTGACTAAATCTGAAGGTATTCATTTCATTTAGATCTTTTTTATTTAATAAAAATTTGAAGTGCCTTGTGATAGATTGGCAACTGGGTCAGGGTGTATGATTAGGCTCCAGCCCACCACAAACCTGAACTAAATAAACGGAAGATGGATGGATGTAAAGCCAATTCTTTTCAGCTTAAATGAACAGCACTTCTAGGCGCAGAGAAGGGGTAAAGGGTGGAGGGTTCGGTGGTCTCAGGATTTTGTCTGTGCTTTTTGCAGTTGCTCTATTGGCATGAAGCGTGAAACCAATGCTGTTGGTCTACATTCCTGCCAAGACATTTGGCTATGAACTCTGGGTAAATTAGGCAGACACAAAAGTGGGAAATAAGCTTCCTTCACGGGGAATGAGCTCAGTCATTCAGGAGGGGCTCAGGTTGGAGCAGCTATCACTCCACATTAAAAGAAGCCAGATGAGGTGTTTCAGGGATATTATACTGAGAGGAAGATCCAGGACATAGAGAGATATTACATCTCTCTGCTGGATGAATGCCTCTGAAGGAGCTGGAGGAGGTGGCCCAGAAAATGGATGGATGAAATGAAAAATGTAAAGTTTGTTTATTGCAGTGAATTTCCTTCCTGGTGTAAAACTGCTTTGGACTTGCACTACTTTACTTCCAGCTTTGCATTTGTCTTGAAAGGAACCAAACCTTTCAAATCAAATCTGACTTCAAAGTCTCCTTTGTGCTACAGGTGACCTCCACGTATCCTTGTTTGTGACCCTCACTTAAAGTCTGACAGCAACAAAGCAAACTGCAGCTGAGTCTGAGAAGCCCTTGGACAAGGAGCCAGATGGAAGTTGAGGCCAAGGCCAAGAAATCGCTTCAGGAAGGAAACAGCAGCTGCTCTGACTGACAAACAGTTGATGCACAATATATCTAAATCCTGAAAAAAAGTTGATAAACCCAAATTTATCCAAAGTATATCTTTGTTTTCTTTACTCAAAGACTCACTAGTGTATACTCACTGGTGTGTTAAAGACCTCATTATAGCAAACAGAGGAGCGCAGGTACCAGCTGATGTTGAAGGCGAAGCTTTTGTTACACCGCCTTGAGTCACCCTGGACTGAAAAATAGAAGAAAGAAGAACATATCAGCACTTAGAATCCACTAGCTGATTCAGACAAGAAAATACTTGTCAGTGGAGTTCAAAGTATTCCAGGTTCTATTCTAGGTCAGTGTCTAATTTTCCTTAGAGGAATGCCAGCAATCAGTTCTACAAACAGAAGAGAAATTTATACCACAGTACAATCTGTACTGTGGAGATAAGACTCTTTCAAAGAGTATTCATCATTTTAAACACTGACATTTTGCTTTTAGTCTCTAGATATTCTGTTTGAAGGCTGCAGGGCATCCAACTTATCTGCAATGTCTGGATACCAGTTAGAGCCATAAACACGCTGTGGGGGATGTAAATCACAGCACAACAATGCCATCCAGTCAACAGTTATGTGTGAATCCTCACATCCACAGTCCTGGCCATCTACACCTTAGAGAACGTAGGCTACTTACACTTCATGAAGATGGTGGTGTTGGCATACAGGGTCTTCCGAAAAACGGCATCCTGCGTCTGAAACCCAACAGAGACACATCAGTCAGCAGCTCATCAGCGATCACTGTATGTGTCACTTCTGCAGATTCCTTTGAACTGTGTTCAGAAAGAATGTACAATTTACACATAAAGACATGGCTTTATGGACCACCATCTGCTCATGTGTGATGCATACAGTGCTGAGTACTGGAAACAATGGTGCTGCAGCTGCTGTGCTAGACAAATTATGTGATAGCACAATCTTTTCCTGAATTTTTTTTTTTAAAAATACCTGTCATATTAAAATTATATATAACAAAATAGGTACAGCGGTTTACTGACACATGCAAACATATATGGAAATACAGCATATAAGGGAAAAACAGAAGTGTGCACAATACTAATCAATCAATATTTGGTCTGAACATATTTATTGTTTAACACAGTCTAAACTCTCTAAGAGAAACTTTCTATCTTTAAGTAGTCTTCAGGGATAGTTCTCCAGGCTTCTTCCAAAGCTCTTCTTCTTTGGGGAGGCCCATCCATCGCTGAGTGTACCAATGTCATTTGCCTCCACTGTGTTTTACATACGGCTGTAGACACTCACTGTTATATCTCCTCCTTACACATTTATGATGATTTGAACCAAAGGAAAATTAGTTTTTAAAAAGTAGGCAATGTCCTAAGAAACACCTTTGAAGCCCTCCAGATAGCGTGAAAAACTATTACTTAACACCACTTAAAAAATGACAGTCTGGCTCCTTGGAACAGAAACGGTCTGGACCCAGAGCAACATATGAAGAAATACCAAGACACCACTATATCTACCTAAGCTTTATAACATGATGCAACACGTGTTTTTTCCACATATCATCGCCTATCCACGTCACGCGGGAGCACCTTTAGCTCACCTTGAATTTAGTGAGGTAATATCACCGGCTGAGCCATCAATTTCTAAACTAGAATTACTTTTCCTGTGTAACACAGATGCAAACGAAGCTGTAACATGACACCACCTGCTTTTACACAATGGAACTGAGAAAAATATCCCCTTTTGAATGTCCAGACAGAAATAGTAGCGTTAATGAAACGAAAATCTGTGGTTTAAAAGCGGGGTAATAAGCGAATAAGCGACTTGTCGTGTCAGACTATCCAAACAAGAGCTGTCAAACCAAAACGACAGTGTTTGCGCCAAGTAGAAAGAAGGGGCTAGTTAGCTTCTTCGGCTAACAGCTACCATGGAAGACTTAGCTTAGAGACTATGTAATAATGGTAAAGACACATATGTTAAAGACACTGACCGAGTTGATGTCCATGCTCCATACGGAAACCTCTGCCGCTGTCCCAGGACGGAAAACCAAGGCAAAAAACAGCAAACACAACCAATGCACCTGATCATATGACATCTTTTTGTGCATCTACTCCAGGTCAGCAGGCTCGTGTCCGCATCCAGCTCCGGGTTGTTCTCCCTGTAGTTACCGCGGTCGCCACAAGAGTGCAACATAACACCGAATACAGTGAGAGCGGAAACCATCTCCTTCTATATATGCCTGACAGAGGGGCAGGCAACTACCGATCATTATAAACTATCTACAACGCTAACAAAAGGTTTTGTAAAAATATGGAATTTCAATTTGATTATTTTGACAGGACAATGCAACGTTCCAATGCAGAGCATGACACTCATGTGCACATAGAGTTAAAGTTAATTTCCATTAATTTCTTGTTCCTCACTGGCCTTTCACATCCACAATGCACAAACAATATTTGCAATTTACACATTACATACACATAATAGAAAAATATAGTGTAAGAAAGCTACAGAAATTAAAAATATGTCGAAAAGTATGAATAATTATACAATTATAATTAGTTAAAATGACTACAGATCTTGTTTACCTTTAATTAACTTTTTCCCTTACTTAAAAAGAAATAATTTTTATAATAATTTTGATTTAAGTTGTAAATGTAGATGAAAAGCCAAATTTAGGTGATATGGTATTTTACAGTTACCATTCAGCATACTATTAAAATGTGATCACAGTCTTCTCATTTAAAAACACAAATGAATGAAACTCCCAAAACTAATTCAAGTATATATATTTTAAAAAAATGTAACTATGATACCACAGAAATTGTTGGATAATAATGAATTTCTTATTCATATGCATTATTTAGTATTCTCCTACCAACAGAGCTGGATAAATAAGCCTTATTCTAACATGCACCACAACCTTGGCATAACTTGGCGGTTATATTTGGAAGACGTCCATCTCGACTTGTAAAATAACAATTATAAATACTTTAATAATCAATCTTTAACATTGTAAGCACAAGATTTAAAAACATTACATTACATTAAATTTCTGTCTTCTTTTTTGTCTTTAAATAATTGTATTTTTCAATTATTGTTATTATTTATTATTATTTTTACCTGTGAAAAATAACATAAACCACATTGTAAATAACTCCAGGAAGAGAGGCCTGTTCGCTTCAGTGGGGGATTTATTTTGGAAATCCAAACCGGAAGTGAAGGTTGACGTACGTAGCGGTATCTTGAGGCAGATTTTTCTCTACGTGTTGTTTCCCGATTTGAAACTGTCAGGAAGCTCTTCCTGGTTTAAACAGAAAACAAATGTAGCTGTGCTCAAACACGGAGACCACCCCGAATGTGAAGGACCGAAGGTTTTGTCTTATCTCTGCGTTAAATGGCGGAAGTGAGCCAAACCCTTGCTAGGTACAGACATATGGGTATATAAACATGGTCTTTCCAGCCGCTCTGTTGCAAAGACCACCCTCTTATGTTGACCTTTGACATTTCACAATGAACCTATATGAAGAAAGCAACATAAAGTAGGACAATCATGTAGTTACTGTGTAGTTATTATCAAATACATGGCAGCTGTTGTTTAGGTCACTGAAAGGTGCTTGGCAATATTTGAATGATGGGAAGTTTTTGACTTTTATATATGTGTGCAGTCAGGTTACAGTTTAACCACCATTTTTGATACTTGGTGCTTTCCATGCCCCAATTGTCTTGAACACCTTGGTCTACGTGTATAAGTGTGTGTATTTCACTTTATTTTTGCTTCTCTTATAGTGTTATCCCTAATGTTGAGGGGGAAGGCAAGTTCAAGAAGAGCGGTGATGTTGCTTTTTACAGGTGTGTTGGACATCCTCAGAGTTAAAGTGATTTTATTGTGTTTTGTTGGACTTATGAAAGAGAGCTGGAGATTAATAATAACTTAATTGATATAAACAATTGAATTTATTGAATAAACAGAAATGTTTAAACTGTTTTTAAAAGGTAGCGTACTAGAATGAATTTGGAGTGTGGCTCAAATACAAAGAGATGAATTTTCTAAGTAAGCGTAATAATCTGTTCTAACTCTAAAACCTCTCTAAAATTGAAAAGTATTTTAATCTCACCACTGACTTTTATTTTCGCTTGCTTTTAAGGCGGCAGATCCAGGGTCCAAACATGCAGCATCAGGCTCTTTTGGACACCATGGTGCTCACAGAGAAGGGGGCATGTTTTGAATTGCTGGAAGGAGACTCGCAGGTTAGTGTTACTTTTAAAAAGTTTCTTTAATCAAGTTTAAACATCATTTAGACTGAACAGATCAATGTTTTGACCTTTGATTATGCCCAAAATTGTGAAAGATAATTAAAGAGGAGGGGATTTTTTTATAAGCTTACTCTTTTCACAGACCAGGCTGCTTCTTTCTTTGTCCCCGTCCAAACCCGGCATTGTAAGGATAACAATAGATGAATTCCAGCCTATTAAGGCACGCTATCGAGTTCCAGATGTGTTATCTGGGGAACCACAATGTGAACAGTAAGCGATATATAATTTTTCTATTATGATGTCATCTTACACCAGCACTTCTTTAAAATCCAGTCCCCTTTAGTATTTCTGACAGCCTAAGAACTTCTGCGGTTGTGACAGAAATTATTAATTGTTCATATCAATAAAAGACAAGTTTATAGATCTAGGTTTAACTTGTAGGATTGCTGCAACTGGAAATTAGTTGACCTTTACCCCTCATCCTTTGGTAGATTAAGAGTGGAGAAACAGACTAAGGACTCAGTCACGCTTTCTTGGTCTTTCGGACGTTATCAGCTCCGTGTGTGGCGTTCTCCTTTCCGACTGGAGATCCTGTGTGAGCAGGAAGTGATGGTCACATTCAACTCTAAGGACAAACTGTGGTTCGAGAGACTGCAGCATCGACCCAGGTGAGATTTGCAAGAAATAGATGTGCAGAAGAATTTGTTTATATCATATAGCTGACTGCATTTCTTTTCTTTTTGTATTCTTCTGCGCGGCTACATGTCACGGTAGCGAGGTAAGAAAATAGAAGCACATCTGAAACTGCAGCTTAATTTTGAAGCTTAATCAGGTCTGTGAATGCCATTGTTCTTTGTTGCTTTTATTTCAGCTTCAAGACGAGCGGAAAAGTTCATTATGGAAGGAGACATTCAAGCAGTTTGTGGATATCAAGGCTAATGGTTTGTGTCTCTACTTGAATATCTTACCAGCAACTATCTCAGTTTGGTGTACTGTGTTCACATTTTTATGATCATAAATTACAGGCAAGTGTACATTTACGGAGCTTAATAATCAAGGAACAGAGTGTACTCTAAACTTTATACTGAGAGACACGTGTTGTGCACCTTCAGGTCCCAGCAGCATTGGAGCAGACCTCTGTCTTCATGGGTTCAGGCATGTGTATGGTCTACCCCAACACGCAGACAACTTGCAGCTCAGAGACACGAGGTACACGCGATGGTGTTTGTGTCTTCATTTGTAAGAGTGTAATTTATCTGTGCATCCTGCAGGCAGGAGAGAGAGTTGACAATTTTTAAAAAATGTGTATCATTTCATAGAGATGGTGAGCCTTACCGGCTGTACAACTTGGATGTTTTTGCCTATCCACTGTACAGTCGTCTCGGACTGTATGGATCTGTGCCATTGATGGTGGCCCACAAGCCAGACAGGACTCTGGGTGTATTTTGGCTGAATGCATCTGAGACTTTTATAAACATTCAGTACTCCCCCTCTGACCATCAGGTGACCTTTGTTTCTGTGCTGTCTGTATTTTACAGTGACCATGAAGCAAAAAGACACTTTTCTACTGCTCAGTAACCTTCTGTCTCACACAGGATGATGAAACCCCTCCAGTTAAACGGAGGCGGGCTGATCCTCAGACCGATGTCCACTGGCTGTCAGAAAGTGGTATGATTGACTGCATGGTTTTGCTTGGGCCCAGTCCACAGCAACTTTTCGCCCAGTATGCTCAGCTGACAGGTGAGAATGTGGCTCTGAAATTATGGTACCCAAAAATAAAAAATAAAATTAAGCTCTCAAAGACTCAAACTTTACTTGTCTGTCCTCCCTGTGTCAGGATATCAAGCCCTGCCCCCTCTGTTTGCCCTCGGGTACCACCAGTGCCGCTGGAACTACATTGATGAAGCTGACGTGAAGTCTGTGGATGCTGGATTTGATCGCCACAGTATTCCTTACGATGTCATCTGGCTGGACATTGAGCACACAGATGGGAAGCGGTACTTTACCTGGGATCCTGTTCATTTCCCTGAACCAGCCAAGCTGCAGCAGCACCTGGAGAAGAAAAACAGGAAGGTCAGTTTTACAGTGAAAACATGCATCATCTAGAGAAATTGTTTTACTTTGATACGTTAAGATGTTTACTGTTATATCTCTTCAGCTGGTCATTATAAGTGATCCACACATTAAGGTTGATCCTTCTTGGTCCCTCTACTGTGAGGCCAGAGACAGAGGGCATTTTGTCAAGGACAGAGAGGGACAGATCTTTAAGGGCTCATGCTGGCCAGGTAATGGGAAAAAAATCTACTGTTTAATGCTAACAAATGTGACATATGCTGGACTTGTGTTAACATGTTAGCTGCACCAAGGTCCAGAATAGGATAAATAAGATTTTTCTATACTGTGGATCATGCAGAGATACTCTACTGTCCAAAAATAAATGAGCATCAAGGTCCACTTTAATAGACACTGTATGTACTTGATGTGTATGCGTGATGTTGCTATATGCATCTTCTTTGTAAATGGAGTTATGTTAACTTCCCTTACAGGCGAATCCTCCTACCTTGATTTCAGCAGTTCAGCTACTCGAGCATGGTACTCCAGATGCTTAGGCTTGGATAAATACAAAGTAAGGCTCAGAAGGGATCAGCCATGTTTAAACAGAAATGATGCATAATGCAAAGCTACTCAGGACCAGAGCAGAGCAGCAAAAGGCTGAAGAATAATTAAGCTGTGTTCTCTCCTTATGTTGTGGTACCCGTGAAATAAAATGAAACATTTTAAAAGCATCTTAAATAATTTAATGCTTTAGTCCTTGACAAAGATTTCATCTCATATTATTTGTTTTTTATCCACCTAATACTGAGATTGTCTGCTCAAGACACGGTAGTGATGGTGTTTATTTATGATACAGGGATCAACACCTT